AAAAGATTTATAAAAAATATTCATATATATGTTTAAGGCTATTTGAAAAGGATAGTCAGCACTCTGAAAACCAATGAATAAGTCAGTCTGCTAACGGGATAAGAAAATTCACGGCCATGAAAATAATTGCACAAAATGAGTTCAACTCAAAAAATAATCGCTAATTAAAGAGATCTTAAGTCTCATTACAAGACTCAATTATTCAGAGTCACTTTTAGCTGTGCCAAAGAAGGGCATATTCTTAGGCTACTGATTTGGACAGCTCAAAGCGCGTCCAAACAACCTAGATTTAATAGAATGTACTGTAGGGAAAAGAAATAAGGAAAATAAAATGAACAAATAAGTGGGTATTTTGAACGAAAGCAGTGAACTGCACAGTGAATATATAGGGTAACATTTGTCAATAAAAGTGATATTAACGTCGTTAAAAAGGCGGTTACTGAGTGCTACTATTTGCTTGAGGCCTTGGGACAAGACTGTTATTTCTCCAGCAGATATCTCCAGTAGGCTTCAGCTAAGGACTACGCCCGTGCTACAGTATCTGCTTTTCTGTCACTTACCCACACTTGCTTTAATTTTCTGCTCTACTTGATGATGGCTTTTGTTGTTCAGATCAGATTTGTGACCAAGGCCCCGTTTACACATACTTGGTTATTTTGACAAACGGAGACATTCCCTGCGTTTGTGCCCTTCATTTACACACAAACGGAGAATTCACCTTTGAAAATGATTCTTTCTAAAAACTCCGGCCAGAGTGGAGATTTTGAAAAACTTCGGTTGCAAGTTTGCATGTAAAATGAGAAAAACGGAGTTTTAGGCAGCCGACGTCAGGTGGTAATCATGGATGATCGTGATTCGTTTCTGTTGTTGCTATTTTCGGGATTCTGATTGGCTAACGTGGGCTTGCGCTTATCGTTACACTGCCACCCACAGGTTTGATTTGCTCTTGACGGCATATACACCGGTACGTGTAAACGAGAACTTTTCTGAAAACTGATACGTGTGCATGATATTATTTTTGAAAACGGAGACGGTGAAATGTTCGTTTATGAAAATAGCCGGCCACGTGTAAACGGAGTGTAAGTCGTCATGTCCAAGTCAAATCAAGTCACTGGTCATTAGCTCAAACTCAAAGCAGACGAGGGAGAGCAATGAAAGGGGGCAGGGGAACAAATTAGACAATGAGCCAACTAATTAACAAGCAGAGTGGGGAAAGCTGAGAGAGCCATGAGCTGCATTTCGTGTTGACATTGACCCCTTTCTGATCCTAAATCTATCTAAGCTTTTAACTCTCTCAGCTTTCCCCACTCTGCTTGTTAATTAGTTAACTCAATTTGTTCCCCTGCCCCCTTTCACTCATCATTGCTCTCCCTCGTCTGCTTTGAGTTTGAGCTAATGACCAGTGACTTGGTCACAATTCTGGTTAAGACACACGCTAATAGCTCACTCGGTTAAGGCACTGCCATGCAATGCAGAAGTGACTATCACGACGCGGGTTCGAGCCCCGGTCGTACCAACCGGCGGTGGGAGGCAGCTTTTTCAGAGTAGCGCACAACTGGCCATCGCGCTACAGGGTGTCAAATTGGGAAGGGACGGCCGGGAAGCGTAATTTCTTTTCCTACGTTAGTTGAGCGTATATCCACAAAAGTGGGCGTGACCTGCCTTATGTGGAATAAGGGGACCTGTATAATGTCCGGGATGTGCACCTCAGAACGAATTCTAAACCCACCCAACTGTACACCGAGAAACGTTTACCAAAACTTCGGCTCTTTATCAGTTTATTTGTTATAGCTCATCATATTAATCTTCAGCAGTTAACCCTGAGTTAGCCCAAGATCATCGGTAAATGCACTCGCTATTTTCTAGCGTTTCTTCGGCAGTAAATAATGCTAACGTTAGTTACGATTGAGTCACTTTTTCTCCCAATCGGTGTGTGCGAATGTATTTAGCTGGCGAGCCTACACGTTTAAGCTCGTGGGCTTCAAGTGTAACGTTATATTCAGTCAAAATCAAAATAATTAAAGCTGTTCAGAACTTCAACTTCATGTGGCTTAATGGTTCAGAATACCTGGAGTCACAAAATGATGTCATACTCGCGAGGAGAAGAGACTGCAATTAATTCTGTAGGGGTTGCAGCTGAAACTGGTCCAAGAAATATTCAGTTTTTGGAGCGGTACTTCAGGCACATGCAAATTCACTCATGCACGAAACTATGCAGTTAAGAGTTCTTTACAGTGAGTGACCAATGTCCGAGAACTGCGTTTTTTACTTCAGCATATTCCTTCAGGGTTTTGTGAAGGAATATGCTAGATATCTCGGACATTGCTCACTCACTGTATAGATGCTGCCAGAGAGCGAACTAGTGACATTGCCGATGACCAGCAGAAAGTACGGAATTCCGTGGAGCCACCGAATGTGCATTGCATTTCATGCGTCCATGAATAATGTAGATGATTTGTCGGATATAGCTAGCCAGCCAGAAATGAACCTGGGGCGTTTCATATGCAACTACAGAACCATGTGCACACAATACGTAAATCCGTGTTGGCACCGTATTTCAGCAGAGACCATATCCCCATACTCTTAACTGCATATTTTCGTGCATGAGTGAATTTGCATGTGCGTGAAGTACCGCTCCAAAAACTGAATATTTCTTGGACCAGTTTCAGCTGCAACCCCTACTGAATTAATTAGTCTCTTCTCCTCGCGAGTATGACATCATTTTGTGACTCCAGGTATTCTGAACCATTAAGCCATATGAAGTTGAAGTTCTGAACAGCTTTAATTTTTTTTATTTTTACTGAATATAACGTTACACTTGAAGCCCACGAGCTTGAACGTGTAGGCTCGCCAGCTAAATTTCACACATACCGATTGGGAGAAAAAAGTGACTCAATCGTAACTAACGTTAGCATTATTTACTACGCCGAAGAAACACTAGAAATTAACGAGTGCATTTACCGATGATCTTGGGCTAACTCAGGGTTAACTGCTGAAGATTTATATGAGGAGCTATAACAAATAAACTGATAAAGAGCCGTAGTTTTGGTAAACGTTTCTCGGTGTATAGTTGGGTGGGTTTAGAATTCGTTCCGGTGCACTTCCCGGACATTATACAGGTCACTTTATTCCAAATAAGGCAGGTCACGCCCACTTTTGTGGATATACGCTCAACTAGCGTAGGAAAAGAAATTACGCTGCCGGGAAAGGGAAATAAATAAATAGCTTTGTTCGTTGCTCAAGCGCCTCCTGTTGGCCAGACGGGCGCTCGTCAGGAAGATTCTAAGTCTGTTCACGTCCGGGTATCCTCCGCCCTCGTTCTGAACTTGCGAAGATTCAACCAATGAGTGTATAAGAAGCAGTGGCTGACAGGCACGTGCTTCGGAGGAGAGCCGTGAACTGTCTTCGCTCTCCTGAGGTGGCAGCAAGGGGTCGCATACGAGCAAGCTTTGTACATAGTTCAGCAATTGGGCATTCCAGATTCGGGTGGGATTGGAGATGCCTAATTTATTTTTTTTTTAAAAAGATACCAGCTAGTATTGGCTATTGGCTGTTTTTGCTTTCTCACCGAACACTGTAAGACGGGCAATCAGGAAAAGACAGGGATGGTTATTGAAATTCTGACGGTAGACCAGAGGAATTTTATCTGAATGAGGTTAACAAACAACGACACAAAAAAATCACGTGGTCAGTGCGAGACGCGTGATTATATATCGTGGTGTTGCAGCATGAAGTTTTGTAATGCAAGGGCCACGCGCCCTTTAAAATCCTGACTTTGTCTATCTCCTATACTCTTGATAAACTGTACAGGCGAGATGAATGCGAGTATCCTATCACAACTGAAGCGCTTTATCTCCCGTGGGCAGGCTGGAAGCTTTCTGTTGTTTTCTGTGATGGAGGAGGTACCAGAGCCGCGTTGTAATTGGAGTACGAACAGCATGTCGTGTGCTTTTTTGATGTTTGTTGCTATAAAAGATAGTAATCGCAAAAATTTTATGAAGCGATAAAAATAATCAAAGTAAATTAAATATAAACTTTATAAATAAAAAATACTCGATTAACGTAATTTTTCTTCTGCTTGACTGCGTGTTTTATTTTCTCCGCTGCACGTGGCTCTTATCACTGGTATCGCAGAAAACTGGCAATGAGGTCTGCCCATTGATTGTTTACTGATAAAGCAATGTGTATCTTTTCATTATGCAGTGTGATAATTATGAAGTTATAATTAATGCTACCATGGTATGTTTTGTATTACTCTTGGTGAATTAAAATTTGAAGTGAGATGACTTTGTTCAAGCAGTTTAAGCTTTTTACCGCAGGTTGTCAAGTGTTCTGTAATTAATGTTATAACACGTTGTTTGTGGAGAACTGACTGTTATCTGTGTCGTTTCCTCATGATAAAGTCTAAAATAAAGCGCTATATAATTACATGTAGCTTTTTGGACGTGATATCTTCTCAAGCTCGAGACCATGCGTAATGCGCATGCCTCTCACAAAAAGTCACTGAGTGCCTGGGTGTTAACAAAATGCAAACGCCTAGAATACTGCGGCATTTGGAAAAATAGCTTGTATGTCTCTGACTGCTTTCATTGCTGGTGGTCACATGTACTTAAAACGTATGGTACAACATGTAACATGGGTGATCAAATAACATGAGGACCATGAGGCATGGGTTGGGAGGGATGTCTCTTGTACTCAGATGGCTGTAACAGAAGCATAGTACATTCTCACCTCAACCACACTCAAGATAGCTCTCGAGTCCTCTTCTACCCCACTCTTGAAACTGCTCCGTAATGTACCACTGGACTTTGTTTACTTGGTTTACTTTGCACAATACCTGGTGCCATTTTCTGGCCAATTTAATGCATCGTTACTGAATAAAACTGTCAATCTCTCTCAGAGAGAGATTTCTGGAAAATTACAAATTTTTGAACTGTACCATTTATACATTCAATTTTGGGATTCGGCATATCATTGACATCCCACTACATTGTGTTTCAGGCACAGCACAGTGGTCTAGTGGGCAGTGCTGTTGCCTCACAGGTTGCAGGTTCAAATCCAGCCTGGGGCCTGGTCTGTGTGGAGTTTGTGTGTTCTCCCTGTGTTCACGTGGGTTTACTGCAGGGGAACCCACTCCTGGTTTCCTTCCACAATCCAAAGATATGCATGTTTGGCTGCCTTGAGACTCAAAATTTCCCATTGATATGATTATTTGAGTGAATTGTATGCATTCAATTCCTACATGTGCTTGGACGAGTCCAATGGAGGGCAAGATAAAGCCATAAAATAATATGCTGAAAGTGTTGTTAAATAAATATAACTCCAGGATTAAGTGGCCTGTGTCTGGTGAGAAAACATCAAAGAGGAGGCGAAGGACTGCAAGGGAAATATTTTTCTCAGAAGGAGAGGGTTCACCATGTGCGGGGTCGTGACGTAGAACCAGAAACTCTGAGAGTTTTTGGCACCAACTTTGATACAGTGCTGGATACTATCAAATTCTTTAGTTTCCTGAGTGTTGGCTACATTTCAGTATAAAGAAAATGGTGACCTTTTTTGCGGCTTGAATGGCTCTTTTACACCAGCCTGTGATATAGTCATGTTAAGTAAGGTGTTGTAGGCAGGTGCTTAGATGGAGCCAGGAAACCTGCCTATATCTTTACATGTGCATGTATACGCACTTGTATATATGGGTGTATTTTATCTGTTTGTACACACCCGTGGTTCCCAATCATGTGTCATGGAGAGCTGAGAGTATGCAGGTTTTCATTCCAACTGCCTATTCGTTCCCACCTCTCTGCTTGAAGGTGTGCTTATCAATGAACTTAGCAGGTATAGCGATTGGTTGGAATGAAAACATGCATACTCTGGACCCTCCATGGCACATTATTAGGCACCACTGGTATACATGGATGTGTGTCTATGTGTGTGTGCATGATTTTCTAGCGTTCCCTTACTAGCCTTTTTGAATGCGTGTCTATGCTTATGTGTGGTTGTGTTTTGCATATGCATTATGCCTATCTCCAACGTATATGTGCCCATACTTTTCTATATGTGTTTGCATAAAAGGGTGCGCTCTGGAATATTTTGACAGCAGCAAGCCGGGACTGATTGTCACGTCTTTCTTCTGCCAGTCAGGAAGCACACTGGCAGTATCAGAGAGTGCGCTGGCCGCAATTTATTTTGAGGTCACTGCAATTTTCTGCTAATTAGCAGTGATGTGCCTTCAGTCCTCATTAATGACAGATGCCCACCTGCTGCCTTTTTATTAGCAGCCATTACTGCACTGACAGCAAATGTGAAATATGCCCAAGACTGACTCCACTCCAACCACAGCAGAGCAATCCTGCATTGGCTCAGGGTAAATGAAACAAAACCAGGGTTTTAACGCATTCCTTAAATCATTGATGGCCAAGTGATGTGGAATAGTGGTGGTTTGCAAACTGCGCTTGTTTCTCCATAGTTACTATTCAAGGTTTAACTCCCAGGTTGCTCCTTGACCCTGTTAACTTGAGTAAGGCGCATAACTGGAATTGTTGTAGCAAATATTGTACTATTTATTTGGTTTGTTGTTAAAAATTATTGCATGATAAAGTGTTGATTTGAATAAAATCACCTGCTTGCTCTAAATGTAATATACAGTCATGCACATAAATATTTGGACAGTTACTCAGTCATTATTATTTCAGCAGTCTACTGCAGTATACTGGAGTTGAAATTGAATGAGTGATTCAAAAGTGCACACTTTCAGCTTTGAGCTGAGGTATTTACATCAAAACCAGCATGAATTCTGATGGATTAAAGAACATTTCACAGGTGTGCCCCCCCCACACACACACACACACTTTTTAACCCTATCCAGACCGGGCGACATGGCGTATGACCACCAAATTTGCAGGGGATGATGTACAGGTAAAACTAAATCACTACAATTATTTTGGTATTATTATGACCTATTATGACGTCATTATGACGTCATATTTTGATTTTGCTGCCTGAAACTGGCATAATACTGTAATTTCTTGCAAATTTAGGGTATGCATCACAATTTTTACACATAATATGTCTTATAACACTTAAATGTCTACGAAGATTTATGCTGCCAATGGCAATAGCATAGCATAAAATGATGTCATAGATATGGCACCACCTTAATAATGGAAAAAAAAAACGTCTCTTTGTTGGTAGTAGAAGCTTTCATCATAGGAAAATAAAAGAAATCCATGAAATTTGAGAGAAAATGCACCTGAGTCAAATATATAGTCCGGGTAAAAAAGCCAACACGCACATCACGGGAAAGCAGATTAAGCATGGGTGCTGGACCAAAAAAGAATATGCCATAAAAGTGAAAAAAGGAGGTCCGCACACCAAAAAGAGCTCCAATGCAAAAATAATTTATTAGCGTGACGTTTTGAGCAAAAGCTCTTTTTCAGACGCTTAAAGGGACTATGTCAGCTGGGGCACATGCGTACTAGAGTCCAGTCAATAAACACTTTCATACATGCAGAGGGATATCAAGGGAGCAGAAATACAAACCCCAAGCTTATTAGTACGTGTGTAAAGCGTACCCTCATCGCTGTTTTAAATACAGAAGCTGGCCTGCAAACGCGGAGTTGCTAGAGTAACCGCATTTATCTTTGCCGAAACCCACGGAGAATAAATTATACTAACCATCCATATTTCCTTTGGCGAAAACACATTGAAAGTGTGAGGTGAGGTTTACTTGTGAATTCGTGGTGGAGTTTCAATCTGTTTGCATCGCGTGCATCCTTGAGAAGTTTGGGGAATTTTTTTATCAAGCAACTGTCTGGAATGTTTGCAGAACTTGTTTGTCGCAACGTTTTGTCTGACATGCAGCTGTCATAGATCCAATCAACGCAGGCTAACTTAAAAGCAATAATAACGCTACAAAAACCCGAACTATGACAAACTGATGCTACGAACAGGCTCCACGATCAATAAAGATAGTTTTTTGGTAAAAATTTCATCAAACTTCTCAAGGATGAACGTGATATAAACAGATTGAAAAACGCTTACACAAAATCTCTGATGAACTTGAATGGGTTGTACCAACGTTTTCAAGATGCTCCGCTTCGTCGCGCGCATGCGCCCCGGCTGACATAGTCCCTTTAAGGACCTCCGTTTTTCGCCTTCAAAGATATAGTCCGCCATCTTGGATTTTGGCCCTTTAAATTCAACGAAGTCATCAAATTAGCATAAATTAATTCTACTTAACAAAGCTGACATTAAATTACATAAGATATTGTAAATAAAATGGAATAAGTGAAACCAAATTGGTGATTTTTTGTCAGACTTACCTGTTAGAAAACCGTTGCCATGGAAACGGTGAAGATGGTGACTTGACTTATTGGTATAAAATTGTTCCCAGACAAATTTTAGGAAAAGTCACCAAGTTTGGTGGTCCTAGCTCAAGCCGTTCAGAAATTATACAACGTGAAAATTGGCACGGGCATAAAAAGCCCCCCCCGGTCTAGATGGAGTTAAGGGACAAAAGGTTATTGGAAAATCAACTGCTTAGCAGTTAGTAGATGTTCATTACTCCGTCTTTATTTCATTTACAGCCAAGCAAATAAAAGGTTCAATGTTCAAGTCTGGCTTTTGCATTTGGAATTTGTTGCCATTAACTTTGTATATGAAGTCAAAGGAGCTGTTACTGCCAGTGAAGCAAGCCATTAAGTGGGGAAAATCAAGACACACCTATCAGAGAAACTGCAGAAGCATCTACTGTTTGGTACATTCTTAGAAATAAAGAATACACCAGTGAACACCCTCCTGGAGGTAGGGATATCTGTTTAAAAGTCAACTGTTGAGAAGATTAGGCCCCATAATACTTGGGACAAATATTTCTTAATTCTGTACTACATAATTTTTCATTACATGTGCATGAAAAACCATTTTAATTGCATGTTTTTTTTTGTTTTTTTAAATTACATTTTGGTTTCAGTGTAGAAATGACAGTATAAGGTCTCACTTTGCCAGGGCCAGCACGCTGCCTGAATAAGACCCGGATCAGCTTCTGCACTCATCAAGCCACCACATTCACCTGTGCCTCGTTGCCACAGAGGCACTGCAGTGGCTACTTAAACTGCAGCAGCACCATTGTTCATTGCTGAGTCTCGTAAAAGCATACCTATGCTGTTGTTTCTAATCGTTTCGCGAAACATTCTAAAACTCATAATTATAACTCTTCTGTGCTGTTTTGTTTTAGCACAGAATAGCCTATTTAGAAGGAACCTCATTTCCTTTTTCCTTTGCTTACTGTTTGTAATACATAGTAGCCATAGTATTACTACAGTGTTCGCTAATTGTTTGGAACCTCGTTTCCTTTTTGTTTGTATCTTTTATATGCTTGTCTCCCACTTGCGCGGAAGACAACAATAAACTCTATAACCAAATCCACCTTTGCACTTGAGTCCAGTCCATGTTTTCCTGGCCTCTGCGCCGACGATTACAGAAGACTCAGCTGTCCCCATGGACTCAGCAAAGGTTCCACTGCCCACAGATCAGGGAGAATTCGGTGTCCACGTCCCTGAGCTGTACCAGTTGGTGGAGGAGCAGCAGCGGGAAATCCACAGTCTCGGCACCATGCTGAACGACCTCGTTCTTGGTGTCCGAGAATTGGCGAGCTCCCGTGCTCCACCGCCACCGCCCACTCCCATCTCTGCTGCAGTACCACAGCCTGCCCCCTCCAGTCCCCGGGGTGATTCCCCTGTGCACCTCCCTGACCGCTATGACGGCAACCCCACTGCCTGTCGAGGCTTCCTTCTCCAGTGCGGACTCTACTTCACGTACCACCCAAGCCTGAGTGACGCCGAGAATATTGCCGCAGTGGTGACCCACCTGTCAGGGAAGGCCTTCGACTGGGCGACCGCTGTTTGGGGGGAGTCAGTGTACCCCACCTATGCTGACTTCCTCCTGCAGTTCCGCTCAGTCTTTGATCACCCCAGGAAGAAGGCTGGCGACCAGCTGCTTAAGCTCAGCCAAGGGAAGAAGACCGCTGCGGAGTACGCCCTCCAGTTCTGCACCTTGGCTGCAACCAGTGGCTGGAATGAAC